TCCGATTATGAAAACTACAGCATATTTGTTGTGTATCATCAAATATGCTTCTGGAGTCTTCAACGTGAGAATTAAATGGATTTTAAGTGAAGTTACTATCACAGTGTATCACTTCAACCTTGTGGCTGTTTTGAACTTATTTTTTTTCTGCTTCTTTCAGTGTTTATAACTTCATATGATACTGATTGTCCAAAATGCTGGAGGCAACAACAATCAAGAACTTCCTGGCATGAACTATGATTGTTTATGAACTACAGCAGCCTTATTTTCACACTTACTGCAATACTGTCAATTATAGCAAATGGATATAAGGATGATTAGAAATTAGGACTGCCTTATTTAGCACAGGGTTTAAAGACACAGCACTATCAGACATCACCAGTTCCATCCCTGGCCAGGGAGCCCAACCTTATGGCTCAGCAGACTTTCCTGTCTTGCTCACTGCTCCCCTCAGTTGTGAATTTTAGCAGATCTGCCTGTTCAGCTCCCACTCTCTCCCTGGTGAATTCTCTCAGCTTCTGCACCTCTAGCCTATACCCCAGTTTTTGTATGCATAAATAAATAAAAATAAATCTTTTAAAAATGAAAAGAGTGATTATAAAATAAACCAACCACCACCAGCAACAAAAACTTGTGTTCTTTGTTCACTGTAATTTAATTAGCTATCTTGTTCCTTATTCTATGCTATTCAGGAAGTGAAGAATTTTATTCTGCTTGGAATATTATTAGAAAAGAGATAAAAATAAGTGCTGATGTAAACATGTTTAAAAAGTGAAGTTTCTGATAAGTAATATTTTCATTAAATCATGAAATAATTCATTTATTTAAGTCCTCATTAATTTATTAAAATTGATTATTTTTAGTTAAATATTTAATTGATAGCTAACTTAAATAACATTACATCTTAAAGTAATAGGTAAAAATGTCAGTCGTTAGCAGAGAAAGGGAATTATAAGACCTTAGAAAATTCTTAAAAAACAAAACAGTATCACAAAACTTTAAAATGTTTATGCTTAATATTAATAAATTTTAAAGTATCATACAATAATGAATATCTTAACATTATCTGGGTTGTGAAACTCAAGAGCTATTGATTGCTTAAATATATTATAGTTAGTCTTCATCATTGAGGTCAAAATAATTATTACAATATCTACCCTCTTTGGTAAATCATGGACCTAAAAAGTGAACTTCCTTTGAATAGTTTATAATTTTACTGGGTTATCTTACATTTTTATATCTAAAATGTACCATGGGAGAACATTCTTGCTGTGCTTTTGATCCCTCCACCCAAAAACAAAAAATTCTTCCAAAGAAAGAATGTGGCTAGGAGGCAAAACTAGTAAAATTATTATGTAAAAAAATTGCTAAGTATAAATAGTATTTTAGGAAAAATGATCTTTCATTTATGGAGTTTTTACTTAGACTTTCTATGTAAAGACTTATTTCTCTTTCTACCATACTTTACATGGGCTTTCTGCCATTTGTTTTTGCTAAAAATATCTGACCACAGATTCAATCTTGTTGTTTTATTGACTTGTATAATTTTCTCCATTGTACAAAAAAAAAAAAAAATGTATGTTTTGGTGTACATGAGACAGTTTTTTTTCCTCCAAGTAATGTATATTTAGAAAATTTTGCTTCTTATTTTACTCTATTCATTTATTTGACGTATATTACATGGTTTGGTTAATTGCTATTCATTCAATAAACCTGAAAATTGTCATATTTTCATCTATTAATTACTCTTATTAATGCAAAAAAATGAGTAGCCCTCTTTTTTTCTTATTTTAACCAAGTGTTTATCAAAATGTTTTGTTACTCCTGCAATTTTTTTTCTCAAATGAAGTCAGTACCACATGTTAAAATCCCTATGTCTCACTAAGATGTGAGACAACTACATCATTTAACGTAATTATATCAGTCTTCTCAAACGTAATTACATCAGTCTTCTCATCATTAACTTGGCGCTAATAATCACACCAACATCATAGGTGATGTGCCATCGTTGACTAAAATACTTAAAATTAACATTAAACATCATTTAAAGCTGTACAACACAAACTTTTCAGTAAATTATAGAACATTTGTTTATTTTGATTACAAAATAAACAATTTTGCATATTGCATATTGAATGCAGCAAAAGAATATGTATGAAGGAAAAAGAAAGATCTAGCTTTTGTGCCATACCATAGTCTAATGTAAATATTCTAAGAGTATTTATAGGTCATGAAATCAAAACATGGTCCAATAAAAGCTGTCTTTTGAGACTGAAACTCTAGTCAAATCTTTATTGCCATTGCTGATTAACTCTCATTAGACCAAAATGACTTTTAATACTGTCCGTGGAGTTTCATTTCACATATGTTCAGTCTTCAATGCTATGAAATAAGTAGTATTATACGGTCAAGACAAGGGTGATTATTATTTAATGTGGAAACACAAAGGGCTTTGTTTTCTGTATTTTCAGTTAGCTATCTTGAGTAGGAGATAATTACTCACCATAGTGACCAGTATCTCAGGTTCTCCTTTCAAACACATATGTGTGTAAGGATAGTTATTAATTTGTTACAACTTTTCATTCAGAAAATATTGCTATTGTTTTGATTGACATTAACTATAAACTATGGATATTTCAGAGAACCAAATTACTTTTTGGGAAAACAGTATTGAATCTATGATTCTCCTAGGACATTAAGCAGGATTTAGATGAGATGTGTGTGTGTGTATGTGTGTATGAAATATTTTTAAGGGTTGAAACTTGTGTAGAATGGAGTGACAGACATAAAACCAAATTCATAAGAGACAATTCAAGGAACATTGAATTTAAAGCGCTACTGTAAAATAGAAACTTGTTTAAGTCTTTTACAGTAAAAGGATTTAAATGTGAGATTGAAGAAATTTAATAGTTTTGGCGTATATAGTAAACAAATGGGGGGTAGATTAACAGAAATAGTAATAAAATTGCAAGGAATATGGAAGAGAAAGGAGTTTATAGACTATTTCTTAATTCCTCAGTTTACTGACGAGGATATGGAGGCCTATAGAAATGAAGTAACTAGTTCAAAACCCCATTTAACTGCCTGTTTCTCCTATTAGCATTATTATTTATTCTAGATTTTAGATAAGTTGGTTGACACTCTGTTTAGATTTTAAGTAACTCAATAAAAATTGTTGGGGAGGAGCTTACATTTTGAAAGGTTTTCAAACAGAAACATAAATTTTAACTTTGCATTTTATTGTAAGGCTTTTTGCCAAACTAAAAAACTGATTCACTACCATTCCTCTAAATTTGCTTCATGCATTTGGAGCACATTATAATAGAAAGAAGCTGCTTTTAGATTGCTGGTGCCAAACATTTTAGGAAAAAAAAAAAATCAAAGATGAGCTTCCACCTCTTTACAAAATTGCATCACTGCTGATTTATTCTTTCATCTTTATTGCAAATATTTGAACAAAAACCAAATGTCATCATTTTAAGATTGTGAGAAATTTGTTGTGAAGACAAAAAGGGCTATAGATGTCAAAGTAAAAAAGCTGACTTGCTTTTATTAGGTGTGAATGCTACCTCAATCTTTATAGTGGTTACTGCATACCAAATTAAACAAGACACGTTTCTTCTAAAATAACATTTTTTGTAAGGATGGTTTCTTGTCAGCCTTTTTTTTTAATGCCAGTATATTAAAACTGCCCTTCAGCTATCTCTTTGAAAGACTGAAAAAGAAAATTGAAGAAAAATATGAAAACAAACAAAAAGATATAATAGTACTGAAGAATACTGTGAATTATTTTCAACTGTTTTTTAATTACCTGCAAATCTCTCAATACAGCAGAACACAGACGTCAGGTTTTTTTTTGTTGTTGTTGTTGCCTTTTTTTTATGCTGACATGTTACCGGTTCTAATTTTGCTGGAATTAACTGCATTTATCTGCATATTATATAACTGCCAAGATACTAAAACATTCTTCAATAAAATTAATGAATTAAAACATCATGTCCTAAAGCACCTAGCGCCCTGCAAATATCAGTAAGTCAATAGTCAAATTTTTTGACTTTCTGAAATCGCAGTCATAGCTACTATACTCCTATTTAGAAATTCTACAATTTACTCCTAAAGAAAATATTGACTAATTATTCCATTCCAGCTGCTAAAGCATTGTAAAGGGTCAGCAGCCGTGAGAGACACGGGTGTTTAACAAACTAGCCACGGACCCGCACAGCTTGCGTTTGCGAGTGTATGTGACGACAAGGTTGTTGATGCCACAAGCCTGCGATGGGCAGCAGGCAATATGCCAAACCGTGGGACCTGCTTCTCTAAAGACTGCCGGTTGAGCTAGTGCAGAATTCCCTTCCACCTCCCAGGAGCCCCAGTCCTCCAGGCGTCGTCAGGAGTATTCTTCGCCCTAATTATCGGGGGAGGAAGACGCGCTTTTCCGGGAGACCGCTAGGCAACATTCACCACGGCAGCCTCCAGATTACTTCCCTCCGTGGGTGTGTTACTTCGTCTAAGCAACTCACACTTACAGTAGATTCTCACTGGCGAGACTGCGAGCAGCAGAGGGCGGGGGAGCTGGGAAGAGTAGGAGGGAGGAGGGCGGGAGGCGAGAGCTGGGAGGGAGAGGAGACCGCGGAGCTCCAGACACAGCAGGAGCGCGCCGTGGCGGTGCAGTTTCAACCTCGCCTTCCCAGCGCGCACACACCGCCTCCTCGGCGACCAGCGGCAACCGCAAGCAGCTCCCGGCCGCCGCCGCCGCCGCCGCGCCTGCCGCCTTCTCCCCCTGTCGCCTCGCCCTCTTCCTCCGCCGCCGCCGCCGCGAACCAACAGCAGCCGCACTCGCAGCCGTCTTCGCCTACGACAGCA